GCTTGTCGAGCGCGAGTAAAAATAGTATCACCCACAAGCACTTAATAAATGTTGTTCAGTAGTGAAAGCATTTATTCTTATAATCCAATCACAAGCACATACACAGACTATTAATTGCTTGTATTATTCATTTCAGGGATTTGTATTTAATTGATTTTACAAGTAGAATTTTATATCCAACATCGAAGGATGCGGTTACTATGTTTTTAAATGATTCAAAAATACATTAAAGAGAGAGAAAAGACTAAATGTGCGGTCAAATTAACAGTTAATTTAGAGAGGATAAATGCCTGCTTATCTATTATCTATTCGCAAGAACGTAATAATCGATAAACAGATTACAGAGACTGTTTGAATATTCTTTAGCCTTTAGCGTATCACAAACAAAATTTCATCATGAGCTTAAAATGATTAAAAAAGAAATGACATATTGCTCTCAAGACGTCGTGACCTTTAGGTGATTTCAGTTTAGAACATTAATCGCGACCTTCTAACAGGTTACTTTCCATCGATAAATTGATTTCAATTTCAATACAAATAAAAAGCAGTTTTAAAAAAGACATAAATTGCAAAACATTGCTTCCGATTAGGAAACGTTCACAACTACAACTGCACAAAATACTTTAGGATTTTTTTAGACATGGCAATTAAACACTTTTGCTTGCTTCATCCATCTTCAATATTTCCATATATATCTGATGCCTTAATTTATTCCAGAGGACAATCGTCGCAATAATTATGCACGAACGACACAACATAGAAGAGAAGAAACCTACAGAGATCTCACCAACTCATGATCAGCAACAAATTCCATCTAATTGAATCCTTTTAAGCCTGCCCGACCATCTACCTAATATCGATGAGAAGCCTACCGCAAAAATTAAACACGCAAGTTCAAGGTTAACACAAACATTGGAAGTTTTTTCACGGAGGTTGCTACTGACAATGGGGCAAATCAGACGAAAAACGCTGCCATAGGACGCTGCCATTGTACCAGGGTCCTTGCAAGAAAACTTCTTTGTTCTCACGGGAATCTATCCTCCAAAATGGATTATTCTTAGAATTTAGGTCCTTAAATAAGCTCTGTTCCTCACTTCTTCCCGCTAACAGTCACACTAGTAATTCTCACTCTTATTTATTATTATTCATCATTACTATTGTCCATAGATTACTATATTGGCTACGGAAAGGGGAGAGCACGCATTTGTTCAGATCGAAAAAGATTTTGTTTTTTGCTCACTATGGTCCCATAGTGTCTGCACAAAATGGAAACAATCTGCCATGCCCACACAATTGTGTAAGCTAAACAAAAATTAAGTTTTCTTTTTTAAGAAAAAGATAGACATAAAAGATCCTATCACAGCCGAACGACTTGTGAGAATGATTCGTAAAAAAGTCGCTATTTAGAAGTCACATGTCCACTCTAAAGTGGTTCTTAGTAGACAAAAGTCTTGTTGTCATTTAGCATATTGTCTAGCAAATCATTCTATTCGGGGGCCATATCGTCTGCTCTCTTCTAATTTTCCTCACTAAGCGGCAACTTGGACGCAAGCCTGGGCTTGTTTGTCGTTCGATACAGGCGTTCACTTGTGAACTCGAGCGCAAAAGCATGAATGAGATAAGGAAAGCTATTCTCCCGAATAATTTCCCTTTAGATTAAATTAATCCGCTCAGGCATCGTCCACGCACATTTCATTTGTATATTAGCCTGAGCAACGGTGACCGCTAGCCATGTCCATCGTTATTATTTAATTGTTTTCATTTTCTGTTTTACTTTGTTTGTATTAAATTACGTATAGCTTTTAATCTTATCTCAATATTATAAGAAATTTCTCTAACATGGTAGGAGTAGTCAGCTTTTAATTTTATAATAAAACTAAGCAACCCACGCGTTACTTTATTATTATAGTTAATGAATAAATTAGTTTTCATAACTTTTCCCATTGCGTTCAGTCTATTTAATATTTATGACGGTTTAGAAAATCATTTATCCTAACATTTGCTGAGGGTTGCATAGTATAGCGTAGCAATTAATGCGCCATAAAGATACACTCCATGTGTTTGCTCGATATAGTTTTTATTTCTTTCTCGTTTATTCGCCATATTTGCCACACGCGTTTTTCATATATATATATATATATATATATATTTTTTTTTTTTTTTGTTCTCTTCTTTTATGTGCTTGTCTTTAACTACCACTTGACAGATTCTATTGAAAACTAACTCTAATTACTTTATAATTTCTATGTAATATTAAGATTGACATTTATGGGCTTATGTGTGCACAGATTTGATGATTAGAAAATGTGATTACGCATAGCAGCGTTATGGTCATTAGCTAAGAGGAGGACGTTCTTGGTAACTGTTGAATAATAATTTAATAAAAAAAAATCTTATGTAACGAACTAAATAAATATGGATGTCAAAGTAAAACGCATAAGCATGGCTAATGCGTCATTTTTGTTGTTTATTCCCTTTTTTATACACCCCCTCCAAAGAATGAGGGGTATATTCATTTTGTGAAAACGTTTGCAACGCCCACAAGGAAACATCAGAGACCCCACAACGTGTATATAACATTTTATTATCATTAAATTCTGAATCGATATAAGTTTGTCCGTCTGTCCCTTTCGTGTAATGTCTGCTTTGAACACTCTTCTGGCCGCAATTATGGAGCTATCCGACTTGAAATTTTGCAGAAACATTGAAAGTTCTTGCAGGCAGTTTGGTATTGAAAAACGGATCGAAGAGAACGCCTGCATTTGATATGATATGATTTTTGCTCGTTACTCAAAAACACTACATCGGATAAATCTACAAAAATGTAAACATATTTTCTACGGACGATGATGCAGTGCTTCAACAAGAATAGGAAAAATTGGCCACGCCTACGCAATAGTATAGTGAATCAAAATTTAATTAAAACCTTTACAAGGCGCAGAAACAAGTTTACAAAAACCCCCCAAAAGTATATAAATTCTTGGTTAGTTTGTTCGTCTGTCCATCTGTCTGTCCGGGCAACTGTGTAGTATTTGTGGTAAACATTCTCCCGTTAGCGAAAAAGCAGACATTGCTTACAAATTTGCAAAAGAATTTGTAAGCGACTTCAACTTTTATTTGAAAGTAGAAAAAATCAGTCGCGTCCACTCCATATTAGAGACGAGGAAAATTTAGTTCCTTTACTTTTTTTTGTCATCTTTAGGATAATGGTGATGGGTATAAACGATTCGGTTACGAGCGAATATAATTTTCTCACTTTTTGTTTTTTTTTTTTGTAAAATTTAAAGGCACACATACACGCTATATAGAAAAGGGATTAAAGCTTTTAAGCATATATGAAAATCTGTTTCAAAGCCTTTATAAATAAATATCAATGAAATATTGTTGAAACAATTATCTTTAATAATTAAATACTTCTGATGACAAGTTGCATAAACCTATTAAAAGGATGTAAATCCTTGTGTTATATAGGTAAAATGAATCCGTTTAAGCAGAAGCAAAGGATTATATAAAATGTGAAGAGTTTTCAATTTAATTATAAAACTTGTAAAGGGATTTAAAAATATTTAACTGCGCTTTGAATGTATCGCTCGAAAAATCGTTCAACCTGCAATGATTTAAAGTCACATACAAAACATATTCACAATGGAAAGAAATTTTCATTGAATTATATTGCAAATAGCGTACATCGATCTGAAGAGCAGAAGATGATTCAATTTGCTTAACACTAACACTGATGACGGTCTGCCGGTGTGCACCTATTTCTACCAAAACGGATCATTTTGAGCCCCTACTTTTGTTGACTTGTCGCAGTCGTAAAAATGAAGGTAGCAAGCGTATAGGGAAAAAGTCCGAAATAAATTTCTTTTAAGAAATAAATTTTCTTCTCCGTATTCTTAAATTTTTATATTACGATATCTAAGAAACTTGATTTCTTCTAAGAGTCCTAGCCTTTTATCTATAGTCAAATGAAAGCGATTAAGAAAAAAATTTATTTCACACTTTTTTAGCTCACTTAAGTAGAAGTAATGTTCCCTCTTTAGTTTTTTCTTGATCACCACACAAATCAGTCTATTATCTAAAAATTTCCTTCCGTCTAGTTCTATGTAAAGTTCATTATTATAAAGTTTCTTCCCAGTTAGTTTTTTACTATCTACTTGTAATATTTAGAGAATTCCTAAGAAGAGTAAAATGGCAAAGGAAAGTAAACCGATACAAAAAGGATGGTTAAGGAAAAGGTTTTCCGCGACATCACTTTTATTCTATAAACGCTTTTTTATTCTATAAACGTACCAGGCGGATAGTTAAGTAAAACATACCTCACCCCTTTTGAATATTGAGAAAGTTTAACAATACCACTGGATAATAATATATCAGGGAGAAAAGGTATGTGCGAAATTTCAGCTTGCTTCGATCGATTGAAATGCCCAAAAATATCGATTGGACTTTTCCATCCTCGCAGGAAAGTAAGATAAACGAAAGGCTATAGAATATCCTTTTTCTTTACGAAAAATTAATTTCATTAACTAAAATGGTAAATGAATTTCATCCTAAACCGTGAAAAGAGATTAGGCCGTCATTTCAAACTATCTATAATATCCATAGGTTGGCATTTACGATTCATTAAACATTAGTTGCACGCTACAATACTGCTCTGGATAAAGTCTTCGATATCAAATGTAACTCATCCATCTGTCGCACCTAATGCAAAAAATGAGAACTTGTTAATTATCTGAAATCATGCTCGAAAATTTGTGGTCATCTCTTGAAACAACACAAAAAAACAGAAAAACTTTTCCAAATTTTTTCATCAGATTCAGTTTCAGTTTAGATAAAAAAACAAAATGCGTTTTCTAAATGTGCTTTATTTCGACAAAAGTTCAATTACAATTATAAATTTATATTTTGCTATCGGCTGATCTTAAAGGGAATCAAAATTTCTTATATATATATACAACACAACCCGATTCGTATTATTAGCTATGGGTAAAGCAAGGGATCTAGCGTTCGTGTGCAATGTTCTGATTGTCGGCTGATTTCATTATAGGTTCCGGCTGCTCTAGCTTTTCAATGTAAAATGTTTCGGATTTAGTTTCTCGACTGGCGTCAGTAGTATTGAAAACGTTCCGCATATTTAAGTAAAATATGCCCAATTCGTTGGTTAAGTGACTTTCCAGTTGTATAATACCTTGGCGAATTCGGTCTAAGCGTTGGTTGAAGGCAATGACCTGACGGAGCCGATCGAGTTCATTCGCAACTTCTTTGTCGAGATTAAGAAACTTTCGTGGTGGTCTTAATTCTTGGCATACTTCACTTATATCATTTGTTCCCACGCTATTCATGTCGTTCATACTCAAATTCCTTATCTTTTGTTTGGCTTCGGTACCAATGGTCGTGAGCATTTCTTTCATGGTTTTCATATCGAGACTTTGTTCGTGCATATCATTTTGTTCGTCTAAAGCTATTTTTCGTAAATTATCGTCAAGTGCCTTAAGTGAAAATTCATCTTTATTATCCAAGAGCGCGAACTTCTCGTTCAAATTCATAGCGTTCTCCATGTTAGCAATTTCGGTTAAGCTAACCGTACTCTTTGTACCAGAATCACTGGAAGGATATTCAGCGGATAGACTTTGGGTTATTTCCATTAAGCCGGTAGAGAAATGGTTCATCATTTCATTAATATCGTCCTTTATATTATTTAGATTTTCCATCTTCAACAGGCAGTCGTTTTGAGTATTTTGTGCAAATTTCAACTTCTCGCTTAGGTCCTTAATGTCTTCTTCTTTAGTAAATAGCTCTGCACATTTTTCATCGTAATCACGAGCTAACCTTTCCACAGCATTTATTAACGTTTTTACTTCTTTCTTGGCAGACTCGAGCTCCTGTTTTAACCCGTTATTTTCAGCTTCTAAGTCACTTATAGTATCTTCTTTTTCGATAAATTGTTGTTTTAGGTTATCGATATCTGAATTTAGTTCAAAAATTTGTTCACTTTTATCATATGTTCGTTGTAGTGTTTCATCCGATTCTTTTAGATAAGTCATATTGGTGGCGGATGAATGAAAGCTAATTGGGCTAATGCAGTTATCCACGAGAGTGTTTTTTATATCTGAGCTTGAGCTATACATTGAATCGGCAAAGTTGACTTGTTCGCTAGGACGAACTAATTCACCGTTTCGCCAGCGAATTAATTCATTTTCAAGTTGCCGCATTTGCCATACCTGTCTTTCATACAATATTTTCCACTTTTCCGCGCTGCATCTTTCATCAATAAACGCGACATTCTTAATATTTTTAGCTCGACGCCCAAACTCCAAAGTAGATTTTGTCTCACTTTCACTGGTATCGGCTGGAGAACAGCAAAGCAACACTGTGGTACGTGCATTACCACCTAATGACTCCTGGAGAATGCGTGTCAACTTCGAATCGCGATACGGTATATGCGTCTTTTTACTATCAGACAAAGCTGATATCACGTTACCCAAAGCTGATAACGATTTATTAATAATTTTGGCTTCATTTAATACAACTCCATTCGCACCAGTTTTCGACACCTTTTCTGAACCCGCCAAATCAAGGAAATACAATGTTCCCGATAATTGCCTTTGATGTATTAAGTTTTTTTGATTCACCCGAATAGAAAAAACAGAATGCGAACGAGACGAATATTTGTTCATATTAGTCACTGACACATGACGATTTAATCTGCCCTCTTCAATAATATCGAATACGTCCTCTGGCGATGATACATAGCGTTCGCTTATGTCCTTAACATATGGCTTTCGTGTCCGGCTTTCATGAATTTGCAAATTGACTTTGCTCGCATCAAGCAAGTCATGTATTTTTTCCATGTAGATTTCAAAATAGGATACCTTGACAAGGAATTCGAATTCCATGGCCTTGCTGCGAATGCGATTAAAAATTTCATTAACTGCACGAGGAATGATACCTTGCTCTACAGTATCACCAATGATGCCTTCCATGCTATAAGTTTTCCCGGATGAAGTCTGACCGTAAGCAAATAAAGTACCATTGTAGCCATCGAGGAGATCACTGACTAGAGGCTCAGCTGCCACAGTATATAATCTATCTTGCGTTGCGTCCGAATGGAGAACTTTATCAAACGAGTAAGACTTGGCACCAATTGAAATGCAGTTTTCTTCCGCTTCGTTGGGTAATTTGATAATCGATTCTGCTCCATCTTCAATTTCATCATCACTTAACGGACGAAAACGACAAATGACTTTAATGTTTCCCTCCGCAAATAAACTTTTATTTTTCTCGTTAGGCATTTTAATCACTTTGTGTAAAGATATCTTCCGCTGTAGTAGTTGATAGTAACTGAATGTTTGCGAACAAAATATTGTTTATCTTATATAGGTAAGTACGCGATAGATCGCCAGCTTCAATTGTTACCTGAAATCTGCGTTAGTTTTCTTTCTATGCAATAGTTTTTCCCTGACCTCTTTGAATAGGTTTAAACAAAATATCTTTGACGATAACAGATTAGGTTACAAACATTTCAAGAAAAGTTATCCTAAAATTTGGGAAAAACCCAAAAATCACATATTCGTGAAAACTTTTTGCAAATTCGTTAAGGCATTAAGAGAATTATAAAACATATGAAAAACTTCTCCTTTTACTGTCCTAACACTGAACAGGTACAGGAAATATTGACTTTATTATAAATAAATTTTGTAGCAAACATTGTTTATAATAATAAAAAATAAAAACAATTACAAACATTAATATTGTTTATAAAATGTCACTGTGTAATGGTTGTTGAACATTGAAAAAATTCGTTTACGTTCTTAAACAAAACACCACGCATTGGTCAAATTTAAGGACAATAGAAGGCTTCAACCTCACCATACTTTTCAATGGTGTACCTATTAAGAGCCTTTTAAACGAAGTTCAGTTTAAGTTTACATTTGAATTTATTGAAAGAATTACAAGTAATTTAAGATCTTTTTAACGATCACTAAAGGAGGAGAGCATAATTTTGTCTTAACCTTCCTCTCGCTGAAGTATATGTGGCGTTCATTTGCATTCTGTTAATGCAACTCTCATACTAATAGGAATTTATTATATGGAAAGCTCGAGCTTGACATGTTTAACAAACTAGAGGACGTCAAAATATTTTGATGCTATTAACAAGAAAACTAGCAATGAGTAATGAAAAGGCGTTGTACGACAGATTTCTCTTGTTACTATAACACATACGCATCCGAATCGCGATATGTGGGTAGGCGTGCTCTTTGTCAAGGCGTGATTCAGAGTCAGTTTAATCATATCTTCGTGTCCAGTAATCCCACCAGTGCCTGGACCCAAGGACGTGCAAATATCGTTACAGATCTTCTCTGCTGTCTCTTTTTCTTTTCCTTCGAGCACATTTTACAATGTCAGAAACCCAAAAATTAAGATGAGCAAGAAAAAGGGTATGCATAATAGATGAAGGGGTCTCCTCACAAGTTACCTTAAGTTCATGAAATTTAATTTGCCAACATCGTATTTTCCTTATTTATTGATGATATTAATGCTTGAAAAAGTTATTCTTCTCTTACTCTACTTTTTCCTTATTTATTACCTTATTTACCTTCTTTGAATGAGATGCTACCGTATTCGATGCTCATTGAACTATTTCCCTAGCCCCCTCTACCCCACATAAGAAATAGCAATGTTTCGCATATACTAAAGCGAATCGCTTTGATCCATACTTTTCGTAAAACCGCTGCAGTCACAAAAATTGAGATAAGAAGCTGGAAATATGAGTAAGGCGCAAAAAAAATACTTTGTAGACATGTCCTTTGCCTGGTTTAGGTCATTTTCAACTTATTTTGTCTGTAGACACAGATACTAAACAATTGGTCACACGGACAGATGGACAGACGGGAATGCTTATATGTACTCCGAATTTGAAACCAGCCGAAAATTTATACAATTTCTGAAGTTTTTTGAAGCTTGCTTCTATACGTTATAAAGTTATTGCAGGCGTGGTCAATTTTTCCCATTTTTGTAGAGAAATTTTGAAAATTGCAATTTTTTTTCATATAACGGCTTTTTCAAATAGGGCATTGTATGTGTGGAGTTGTCAAAAATGTGGATCGATTGAAAATATCTTGAATAGCGTTCACTCTTGTGTCAACACACATCGTCAGTCTACCAAATTTTACCGAAATATCTCAAAAATTGCGCTCTGCAGCTTTAACACAAATTTGCATTGGCAGAAATCAGACAGACAGACGGCCAGATGGATCAATGCAGATTATGATTCTGAATCGATCGTTGTAACAAACGGTTTGTCTACCTTGGGCTATCTTAATATACCCTGTACCATAGGTAGCGTAAATTTGCATTATTATCAGTGCTATCAGGAAAGCGCATATTCAAGATCACATTTTGAAGATGAAAGCCTCAAATCTGGCTTTAATCACGGTCGCGTATATTTCATAGGGACGTTTACAGGAGAGCTATTATCGATTGTCTTGCACGCAATGAGAAAATTTCTCGACCGGTAATGTCGAGAAGATATCAACATCAGTTTTTTAAAGGTATTTTTATCGGGCGAATATAATCAGGGTAACCACAGTAAAATTTATGTAACATTGATTTTACTATGTAGGACTATTTGCTCTGGGTTTGTAAGTTTTTCTCGAGCAATGAAATGTTCAATCATACGACTTAGTATACTTGACACAAAATCTTAAGCTGCATAAATAAATCCGTTGCTTCAGAAGCAAAATTATAGGGCATTCATATAACAATTGTTTATGAAAAATTGAATGGCTTCTGGGGATATCTAGTTTCAAGACATTAAAAACAATTTCCAAAATATTATAGTTCCCTTAATACTTTAGCGGCTTGTCAAGAAATATTTTATGAGAAAAACAGGTTTTATGTGTTTCCCAATTTTAGTTCATTGCCTAATAATATAATTTTTATTTTATACCTGTTCATCGCCAACCGAGAACACAATAACGAGAAAGAAACGAAAATAATCCACATACCAGGTATTAATTGAAATTACTTAAGAGGACCAGCATAATCTTGGAGATTGTCTATATAAGATAAACAATTTTCGAAGAAAACAGTCATTACTTATCAACAACTACAGTGAAATAGATCTTAAAAGTCAAGATATAAAGTCATTAAAATGTCTATCAAGAACAATAACTGTTTATCAGCCGAGGGGAACATTAAAGTCATTTGTCGTTTTCGTCCGTTAAATGATGACGAAATTGAAAACGGAGCAGAGTCGATTATCAAATTATCCAACGAAGCAGAAGAAAATTGCATTTCGATTGGTGCCAAGTCTTACTCGTTTGATAAAGTTCTCCATTCGGACGCAACGCAAGATAGAGTATATGCTGTGGCAGCTGAGCCTCTAGTCAGTGATCTGCTCGATGGTTACAATGGTACTTTATTTGCTTACGGTCAGACTTCATCCGGCAAAACTTATAGCATGGAAGGCATCATTGGTGATACTGTAGAGCAAGGCATCATTCCTCGTGCAGTTAATGAAATTTTTAATCGCATTCGCAGCAAGGGAATCGAATTTGAATTTCTTGTCAAGGTTTCCTATTATGAAATCTACATGGAAAAAATACATGACTTGCTTGATGCGGCCAAAGTTAATTTGCAAATTCATGAAGACCGCAACCGAAAACCGTATGTTAAAGATATAACTGAACGCTGTGTATCATCGCCGCAAGACGTATTCGATATTATTGAAGCCGGAAGATTAAATCGCCACATTTCGGTGACTAACATGAATGAATACTCATCGCGTTCTCATTCCGTTTTCACAATTAATGTACATCGAAAGAACTTAATGGATCAAAGGCAATTATCGGGAACATTGTATTTCCTTGACTTGGCCGGTTCGGAAAAAGTATCGAAAACTGGTGCGGATGGGATTGTATTAAATGAAGCCAAAATTATCAATAAATCGCTATCAGCTTTGGGTAACGTGATTTCGGCATTGGCCGATGAACAGCAAACGCATATACCGTATCGCGATTCGAAGTTGACACGCATTCTTCAAGATTCATTAGGTGGTAATGCACGCACCTCCATATTGCTTTGTTGCTCTCCCGCCAGTACTAGTGAATGCGAGACGAAATCTACCTTCGAGTTTGGGCATCGAGCCAAGATCATTAAAAATGTCGCTTATCCTCATAGAAAATTTAGCGCAGAAAAATGGAAAGCATTATACAAAACGAACAAAGAGAAAAATAATTATTTCAAGATCCTAATCCGGAGACTTCAGGATGAATTAATTCGCTGGAGAAATGGTGACTTAGTTGGCATCGATGAACAAGTGATCTTTGACGAGTCAAGGGATCATCCGAGTTTGGAAAATAAAATCAGTCCAACCGATAACAGTTGCAGTTCAATTAGCCATCTTTCCTATATGAGTGCTGCGACTTATCTAGAGGCAGGAGACGAAACGGCATATGATAAGATTAAACAATTTGCTGATCGAAGTCAATGCTTGGAAAATCTTAAACAGCAATTTCTCAAACAGGAAAATATAATCAAAAGGATGCGAGTTGAAAATAACACTCTGAAACTAGAGCTTGACTTTGCTAAAGAGGAGGTTAAAGTACTAATGGAAGCTTTGGAAGAGCTGGCTTTTAATTATGATGAGAAATGTGCGGACACATATACGAAGGAAGAAGACATTAAAGAGCTTAGCAAAAAGTTACGATGCATACAAAATACGCAAAACACGTGCCTGATGAAGATGGAAAATCTAAATGATATAAAGAAGAATATTGATACAATGTTTAACCGTTTCTCTAACGGTTTAATGGATGTAACCGAAAATCTGTTTGGAGAGCATTCTTCTAGTGACACTGGCACGAAGAGTACAACCAGTCAAAGCGAAATTGCTAATGAAGGAAAGCGTAAGTATTGCGGAAGCGACATTTTAAGCGCAAAGTCACCGCTCGATCATGGATATGTATCCTCTTTGCATCGGTCGGACGATAGTTTACAAAATGCAAATAATCGACAAGACCTAAATGTTGAGAGTAGAAGCGATTTGTTTTATAAATTAAATGCAAATATGAATGCAATTGAGCAAATGGTCCGAGAAAATCTAAGCGACTTAGAAAGAAAAAGTGTCTTCGAAAGCCGAATGAAATGTTTATGCGATGTTTATCAAGGCAGGAGCAAGCCGAGCACTTCGAATTGCATTGATAACGAATTCCTCCAGCTGCAACAAATTATGATCACGAACCAACAAATACAAAGAACTCGCAAAGATCTTAAGTATTTGGAAAATAGTTTGACTCAACAATTGCAAGTGTTTTACTCAAATATGAAGAATCGTTTCAATACTACTACTACTGATCAAAAGAAAAAACCTGAAGAGATCTTTATAGAGCACTTGCATCAACATAATACCTTGCAGTTGAATGTCACAATGCAAGGCATAAAATATTTGAAGGAAACGAATGACAAAAATGCATCACCCACAGCGGACTAAAAGCATTTTACCTCTGCCTCAGAAGATATTGCGATCGATACGGCCACAAATAGTTTTAAGCTTTTCATGCCTTGTATATTGACTTGCGTTGTAATGTTCTTAAATAAAAAAGTATACGAATTGAAAAATTAATTCAAAATTTTTGTTTTTTTTAGTATGGATTTTTTTTTCCTTCCATTGTCATATCATTTAAGATAAAAAGATGGGAAAAGCTAAAGCTTGTTTTGTCATAATCAGGAAAGAGAGAGGGAGATGAGGTGATAATGCTATGCGATGGCATGACATTAAAAATGTTTTATATATAAATCACTCCCTCTTCATGAAAGAGTGTATATTTGAAAGTTTCCTAACATGGCCATAGGTAGTGAATTAGAACACTTGGCTCCGATTACATTTATAGTATGAGTTCTGCGTTAGATTGCTCCGTCCGTTTAGGCCAGTTATGGCACAAGGATATAACAAGTTTGGGCGGATGTATCATCTCACCTGATTCAGCTTTTATAATACCGATCGATTTAGAATTTGAATCGATCTAAGCTTATTTGCCCTTATTGACCTTTTGTCTGTTTTCTTGCAAGTCGCACTTTTAGAGCTACATTGATGAAATTTTGTAAACCGACTTGTTTTGGCCCAACGAAATGAAAATTATTGGGATCGGACCACTTTTTCGATCAATTCCCAAATAACACTTTGTTTCGAAAAGATGTTATATGAAGAATTGTGTTATGCGAAATGGTGTAGGATGCCTGATGGTAAACCGTGGCCTACTTTAGTGCTTTTACTTGTTTCTGATTCAGATGAAAATCCTTTCTTTATGGGATACATTCAAAATTTTTTAATTTATAATGCAAAATGGTATCAATGGATATCAATCATCAATGAAACCGTTAAGAAAATGTTTTTCGTTTGTTACCGAAGAAACTAATTCTTCATATTCTGTAATATTGGGATACATGGAAATTTTTATGTATATATTTGTTACGAGACTTAGGTAATTAACAAAAAACTCAACTTTCCAGATTTTAAAATTAAAGGTGTTCGCAGTTCCTAATTGGGCCCATTTTCATTAACAACTTGCGTCCAAGAAACTCTAATATTTTTCTTCAAAGTGAAATGCTTACCATACAAAATTCACAGAGACGGAACGACAGACATGGAGTCTCTATTTCATACCTATCAAGAATGCACTTTGTGGAGTCTTCGAAGCTTTCTCATGAAAATCTTTTATCGGTGTCTAGCATCAACAAATAGGGTCACAAAATGATTTTAATGCTGAGAGTTCAACGCAGTCTTTAAACAAATGACCTATTAAAAGGTACCTCGTAACGCGGCTTTTACGATTTGGTCTACGAAGGATGAAAGACATTTTCCATAAAGAAAAATATCAAGGCGATTAATGACATGTCACTTTAATATGCTGTACAACTCAAAGGAAACCCGACAAATGACAGGTGATATTGTCCTGTAAAAAAAGGGGAATGAGTCCCATTTAGTTAGTACTTTTCGTGGACGATCATAAAAGAAAATCATTAGGTCAATAGGTACAGTCAAAGGAACAAGATGCAAATCAATTTGATGATTTGATGTATATAGTCGAAAATGAATGCGCTCTAAAGTATTGGCCATCGATAAAGACGCAGAAGTCTGCCATCATCGCCTGCAAAACGTATTTAAATCGTCTGCCATTAGTAATCAAAGAAGTTCACTGTACTCGCCAGAAGAGAACGAAGGAACAAACAGAGCTCTTATTGAACAAGTTGGATGCTTACCGTTGCAAGCAAACTTAAGCACACTTCGCTTCACGGCAGAAGCAGTGATTAAAGCCTCTTCCTAAGCCCATCGCTTGCCATGTAAAAAACTTTAGATCGTTCTACATAAAGAAGCTTTGTCCGACCATAAGACATTTCAAAACTGATGGTTGTATACGATATCGGCGCAGATTCCAAAGACAACAATTGGAGATAAAAAGGCAATCGATCTTGTTGTTTACGTTAACCTATCGATAGAAAACAATCAAGTAGCTCTAAATGGTCCATATGGAAACTTATGAAAGACACAATGATGAACAATACCAAGCACTTACTGGCAGTTGCACTTGGGAAATATATGAACTGTTTGGGGGGCAGAAATCAATAGCGAACACATGCTGTTCAAACCTAGGAAAGATTGCGTTCGCTCAAAAAAAAAAAGAATTTTTTACTAGGAAATGTTCTTGCTTGTATTCCGCCGTGAGGTTGTTATTGTCATTAGCTGTAAAACATAACATTCATGTCACTCAATGAGTTGAAACTATTGACGGCAATTTCTTGAGGGTTTTAGCTGCCATGACAGAAAGATTTGCAAAGTTAACAATCGCTGGAAACAAAAGTTTGACAATATTCTACGTTTACACCAATGCATGCATGTATTACCACGTAGAGGGAGAATATACATGATGATGTATATAGTGGTGTATAATAGCTAGATGATGTAGTGATTCTTGCAAATGACATTGCGGACGACATCGACCTACAAAAAAAGGAATTCAAAGTAAACGACCTTGGAGTTATAGATTTTGTTATGGATAAAAGATGGGCATAATGGGAGATTTTGGGTGGACCAACATAGATATCTAACATATATTCTAAGCCAATTCAGCTTGGCATGGTTGTGAAGGTGCCGCTACACCACTTGATATCGCTACAAATCTGGGGCCAGTTGATGGTTCTCGGTACCGAGTAAACTCGATCGTAATTTGAATTTACAATTTGTTACTCGAGAGCAATTTTACAATCGAAATATTTTTCATTCGTTGGAAACACATATCCATACCTTATCGGCCGTTGTAAGCCCCCCGTGCGTTATAGCGAATCTATAATTGGCAACTATCGAGTTTATTCGTTGCTGAGAACCATACATCAGTCCCCATGCGGACACCACACAATAAGGGAGATATCGAATCGAAAGTCCTCATAGGAAGGTAATTAACAGTTTATTATATATGCATCGCAAATAGGTCGATCAGACATATCGTATGCAGTAGGAGAGTACTCTTTCTAGATTTAATCATAGAGTATTAGAAAAATTTATCAAAATACGTTGCATTATATAGTAAATTAGAATATCGTAAGAACGATGCAGATTTTATTATAAACTGCGTTAATGCGGACTACGCTACGGGGGGCAGATAGCTGTAAAACCCCAAGAGGATATGCATATTTATTCCAAAATTAACTTAACTTAGGTTAGGTGAGTGACGCTAACGTTATACGTGTTAGGGATGTGGGCGTTAGGTTTGCCCGGGTATCATGACTTGTTAGCCGCATTTTACATGTTATTGTGCATTCACGCTAATTTCCATGCCCTTATAATTTCATGCATTTCGCTCTCATAGCGAAGTTATTTTAAGCTCTTACGCGTTTTGCCTTCCTCGTTATTTCGCCCAATATAAACTATTACGTGCCATATAACCTTTTTTTCCTTCTTTTGCGTTCCTCTTTTCTTTTTTTTTTTTTTGCGGGCAAAAGTTTCGTTCCGTTGTTGTTCGCTATTCATGATGCTGGCTATGAAACTAAATATTAAGCTTTGAAGGCGTCAGTTTGCTGCCTTGTTGTGCTATTTTTAGAAATTACAAAGCTCTTTTTCTACATTTTCCATATGTGCAGAGAGAGAGAGCTAAAGATATTATATTATATTTGTAACTAAGGGGGTAAAAAAAAAATAATAAAAATATTAAAGCATCCAACTACCAGCACTTGAACGTAATAGAGTTTTAATTAATAAGTGAAGTATGCAGGAGAAAAAGAAAATGATATCTTAAAGCTGTACATGTTTTCTGAGTATTCTGTAAGCTTAGCATGTATATGCAAGGTTTTGTAATTTTAATGAATAGAATTAGAATTAAAAGGAAAAGGAAAAATATAATTAATTGAATTTTTAGAAGAAACGACAGTGAATTATTTGAAATTTGTTTTTTTTTTTTTTTTTTCTTTTGCTTACAACGTTCAAAGGTAGGCGTCGTACATCATAAAACCGCATGATATGCAACATATCATAGATCAGAGGATTTGATATGTCCTTTATCGGAATTTCGAAAGTTTTGATCATCGAGATAATCAATGGAAAACTTGATTCACATATATCCTCTGCAGAATTCAAAAAGATAGAATTCATTTTCAAGCTTTTACACTAAATCATCCTAGATCACCACTAATCTGTCTCTATCTATAATCCATTCGGAACATCATCATGTTTGCGTGTGTGCCTGTGTGGTATAAAAGAAATAAGTAAGGAAGCTCGGCTCATTATTAAATACCTTACAATTATTCATATATCGACTTTTCAAAATAAGGCGTTGCGTATGGGTGGTCGTCGAAAACGCGATCCGATGCAAAGCATTTTCAATAGCGTTCGTCTTTGGTCCAGAAAATAACGGTTTACCAAATTTCATCGAAATATCTCAGAAATTGCAACTTATAAGTTGTACACAAGGAAGCCAGACATATAGACGAACAGAAACCCTTAAATTAAATCAGAAAGGGATCTTGAATGAATCGGTTTAAAAAAAGATCTTTCTGGCTATTGCATACATCAGCACAAGCTTGTGGAGTTGGGCATAAAAAAGACGAATAAAGGCACATTGAAGGGGTTGTCGATGTTTATCATGTAGAGCTGAATTACACCTTTGATATCCCCATCCGAAAGCACTAGGTTTAGGCTTTGCGTAGTGGTATAAACTACCACACCGAAGAACAATGCTACTGAATTATGGCGAATGATGATTACTGTGCTAAGGAACTATGAACACCGATGGTAGGTAAGACTGTGAATTACTCCAACCAAAACAAAACCATCATTGATAAGAACACCATTAACAAAAACTAATGCAAGGGAACTAAAAACAACAACGTTTGTCATTGGGCCAAAATATCCAAATGTACCAAATTTCATCATAATATCTCTAAAATTGCAGTATCTAGATTAACTACAAACACAAATGGACAAACATCAGTTAGAAAGAG